TTTTCCCTTTTATTTACTTGTTTGGATTTCGTTATATAGTGTATAATATATACTTCGTATATTTAAAGTACAGTATTATAAATCTTTAAACCTCTAACTACTCTTATTTAGCTATTTAATCAAGTACCGGCGTACTGCCTCGTTGATAATGATTACTAATGTGTTATTCGACTATATATGATCTTTTGATGAATACATATTTCCATAATTTTTTCATTTCTTTAATTATGTGCGCTTAAATTCTATTTTTTGTTTAATTGTTTGGAACTAATTTTACTTTATAGATTACATTGTAATAATTTCAATAGTCAAACAAAGTTGTGTTTATTTTTTTTTTGAATGTAACCTGATTAGGGGATTTTTATCCACCAATCACCGTCTGACAAGTGGACCAACCAGGTTCCGCCACGTGTCCTTCACGAAGGCCAACAGGAGCATGCCACGTGTCAATCACAGATACGTCCTCTACGGACCAATTTAGACACGCCACGTGTCCACCCATGCCAAATGGGAAAACCGGCCATCGAGGCCCAATCCAGTCTAGAGGCCCGATCAGCCTAGGTTTACCTTAAACCTAGAGAGTTGCACGCTTCTCAAGGCTATAAATACTTAATTAATCCTCATTAGTTAGATGATGGAAAAGTAATCAAGTAGAGAAGAAACAGAAATATTACTGAACACCAACAACCGGCTAATCTCGCTAACGACGCAGATTACCAACACTAAGCACTCTCACCTAGAGAGATCTCTTTACTTTAATTTCTGTATTAATTACTCCTTAATCAGGTACTAACTTGACCGTTGGAGGCGGAGCTCTCAGGAGTCTCCGTTATTTTGCAGGTACAGGCGTCCGGTTCCAGTCTCGGAATTGTAACTCTCCCGCAGGACATCAGAAAACCCCGAAACATTTGGCGCCGTCTGTGGGGAGAGTACTTCAGAGATGGCATCCAAGTCTGTACCGACTCCAGAAGAGAGGCGTCCCCTAGACGACCCTCAAGTTCAGTCGGACCATGATACCGGAAAGTGAATTTGAAGTTGAAACTCCATACAGCTCCAGACGGGACCTAAGGGCCGACGTACCCGTCATACCGAAAGGAGGGAACGGGAGCATCTTCAAACAGGAAGCGAGCCAGCAGGCGCACCGCTAGCTCGGCAACAGCCGACTGATGGGTCTGCTCCCATCACAAGGAACGAACTCATGACCTTCATGAGGGACTTCAAGGGAGAGATTCAAGAGTTGATCAACAAAAAACCGCCTGCTTCATTCAAAGAGCAGTCGGCCAAGAAACCTTCCACTTCACTGAAGAGGAAGCCAGTTCAAGGGCGAGAGGCGACTCCCCATCCTAAATCCAAGAAGCGGGAGCCACCTGCTCTTGATTTCACAAAACTCCGTTATCCTACGGGAAATAGGAAACCGGTTCGTCATATTCAGGCGGACGGGTCAAAGCAAACGTTCACAGATGCTCGGCACCTGCTAGAGCAGAAGAAGAGTGACCGATTATCAGAGTCGGCTTCTACTTCAAATTTTCAGGACAGCTTGCGAAATGCCTCGATGAGGCATACTCAGTCGTACCATGAGAGTCAGTCAGGCGGCACCTCCCGTCAGTCCGGCTTTCATAGTGCCCAGGCGGTACCAAACTTACCATTTGTGCCGCAACAGTATTTTATGCAGCCACCTCCATTTGGTGGACCTGCAGCAAAAAACGTCCAACCTATGGACTGGCAGCTACGGCTGCTTAGACTTGGTGAATAGCCGTCGGCCTTCTCCAAGGAAATTACTGAATCCGCTCAGCCGGCCAAAGTAAAAAATGTTCTAGTAGGCGCCTATGATGGCACTACTAACCCAGAAGACCATCTGATGGCATTCACCAACCTAATGTACCTTCAAGGGTTGGATGATCCCACTTAATGCAAGTGTTTCACAGCGACTCTCAAGGGAATTGCACAGCAATGGTTCGGCAACCTGCCGACTGGTTGTGTAAACAGCTTCAGGACGTTTGCTTACTTATTTGCCTCCAACTTCGCTATGAACATCCCTGCGAAGAAAACGACCCTTGATTTGGGAACAATTCAGCAGGGCGAGAAGGAGGGGCTTCGTTCTTACATCAGGCGGTTCAACCTGATGAGAATACAGATTCAAGGGTTACCAGATGAGGTAGCTTATACTGACTTTTTTAGAGGTCTCAAAGACGGGTCTACCTTCAAATTTGATTTAGTTCGAAAAAGGGTGGCGACTCTTCAAGAGGCTTTGATTGAAGCAGAAGCCTATATACAGGCGACTGATCTGTGTACGATAAAACAGTCGGACGGGAAGAGGTTCGACAAAAGAGAGGGACGACAGAAACAGTCGTCCAACAAAGATGAGAAAAGAAAAGAGGTCTGGGCGGCTGATTCCTCTAAACAGCCGACTCAGAAAAAGAAAAAAAAATTCAAACCATACTCCCCAAAGTATGTGTTTAACAAGGATAACCAGTTTATCCTAAAAGAAATAAAGGGACGGTTCTCAATTGAGAAGCCGCTCCCCATGAAGGGTTCTGCAAGCAACCGGAACCAAGACAAAATCTGTGCTTATCATGATAACGTTGGTCATCACACCAATGACTGCATCAGTCTCATGCGGTACCTAGACCGCTTGGCTGAGCAAGGTGATCTTGACACTTATGTCAAGAAATCTACGGGGAACACTTCCTAAAAAAAGCAGTCGGCCAAAAAGAATCAACAGGCCGACAGTTCCGATACAGATGATGCAGTCGTCTA